AGTTAGTTAGTTAGTTAGTTAGTTAGTTAGTTAGTTAGTTAGTTAGTTAGTTAGTTAGTTAGTTAGTTAGTTAGTTAGTTAGTCTTGTCGAAACTTTTCCTTGAATCAACGATTATATTACTATAGGTGATTCGTAGTCATCTCTGCTTTGTTTCTGTGTCCTCGAGAGCTAGTCGAAAACTTTGTTTCGATGAAAAAAGTCATTTGTTGTTGAAACTCTTCGAAAATATTTCTACAAATGCTATTCTTCAAATTAATCCTTTTTTGAAAAAAACTTATTAATGAACTTTACCTTCCAATTAAAAAAAGTTAAAAACTTACTGCTTTTCGAAATCAAATCAAAAGAAATCATACAGAACAAAATATTTCTATATTTTAATAAGTATTATTCAATATATTTGAGATATTGTTGTGTTATTGTGCAAAAATGTTGAAGAATTTTAGTTTTTTTTTTTTTTTTCATTTAATACTAATTTTATGTAAATGTTTATAATATGATTGTTATATTCGAAAAGATGAAGAAAAGGAAATATTATATTGGAAAAATTTAAAAGAAATAATTAATATTCCAAAATGAAATAAATGGCACAGCTTAAAATTAAGAGAGTGAAAAAAAGAAAAACTTAACATATACAAAATTTAAACGTATAAGATATATAATACATACTAAAATAATAGTAACTTATGTTTTATAAAAAAGTTTTACTTTTCATTTAAATGAAAAACTAAAAAAGGAATCGTTTTCGTTTTCAAAATTTAAAAAATAAAAACTTTTAAAAAGCTTAGGGAATATAAAACAATGCAATAGTAAAAATAACAAAAAAGACAATTCAAAATGTATGTCAAATAAATTTTGTATAAAGTGTTTAAGAAACCTATTTTGGAATTAACGTGGTGGTATTAATTCAAACATAGCAAATTTCCAAGTCCAAGATCTAGCCAATGACTCAAAGCGAGGGCGATTGTGTTCATACATATAGCCTAAATCGGGTTCCATGCAAACCTTTAAAACAGATAAAAAGTAATTTTGTTGTAATTATCCATCTCATTTAAAATATACCTCTGTATAGGGATCAGTTAATAAACTTTGTACAGACAATAAAACCTTGGAGACATTTAAAGCCAATGACCAATTATGTTGGAATATATCAATACCCACGTCACCATGCCGTGAAACATTTGGATGTAAGATTTTTGTTAAAAAACGCACTGTGGGCGGTATCATGGGATATCTATGGAAAGATTAAAAAAAATTGTAATATGCATTTTGTTTTTTTTTTTTTTTAATTGACATTTACCTTTCGGGAAAGAATATATATAAGAAAAATTTACCACCTTCATAAGGACTACCAGGTGGTCCCAGAATACTGGCCTGCCAGTATGTATTCTGCTTATCCAGCGGTATAGCCTCTATGCCCTCCGTGGCATAACTATTCAACAGACGAAAATCATTACGTAAAAAATTTGCACGTATGGCATTTTGACGACCGCGTGGTGGACTTTTTAAGGCCATTTGCAACAGGCACGAACGACAAAAGCAAGAAGACATCAATGAACCATAGAGTTTCATCCAATCGTGTACCTCGACCAAACTTTGAAAGAGTGGCCAACGTTCTTTGAAATATTTGCGCCACATTTGCTGGGAAGTATTTTGAGCAATAATATTTTGCCATTGTTTGCATACCTCACTGGACTTCCACATGGACATATCATCCAAATAGGAAAATATTATAACCATAATCTCCACCGGTAATGATAATATGTTGTTTGGTCTAACCGCCTGCGTGGCAGAGCCTGTAGCCATTTCCGAGGCATTGGCATGTGCTTCACTCAATAGTTCCATCAATTGCGGCAAGGAACGTGGTGCCGAGGGTCTGGGGCGCTCCAAGGGCAAAACCGGTGGTAATGCTCTTTCAGCATTATCATTTTCCATATTAACTCCCACCTCGACAACTGGTACTTCAATCATATCGTTGTCCACCTCTAATTCTACATCATCTACCACATCTTCTACATCCTCATCGTTGTCGTCTCTATCTTCCTCCACTTCATCAACCTCATCTTCCGGCTCATCATCGTCATCATTTTCTTCGGTTTTATCTTTAAACGGTGGCTCATCATTGCCGGAATCTTCATCATCGGATATAGTAGTTTCCAGCTCTTCGGCCGGTTCAGTATTGTATAAGAAGGCATGACAGGTGCCGCACAAAGGCTCACCGAAATTGGGCCCATAGTAACCATTACAAACCCAACAGGTGCTGCTATTCTAAAAGTGGATAATAAATCATTTTTTATCACATTTGGCCATTGTTTTTTCTGTATATTTACCGGGAAATTAAAATTTTCATCTGTCTGTTGTAATTGCGTCTTGTCTGGTTCCTCTTCTAATTCAGAATCTTTTAGGCCATCATCATCGTCATCACTTGTATCCATGGTTTCATTATTATTTTGTTGCAATTGCTTTTCTGACATGCAAGATGCCATTTTTATGAGTTTCACAAACGATTTGAAAGTTTTATATTAGTTTATTTTAATCAGTTTACAGTTTTTTTCAATAAAAATCGAATGTCAACAATTTTCTGCAGTTTTCGTTTTTATTTTTTCCCTTTTTTTTTTTTTTTTGTTTATATGTCATCAGCTGTTCAAGTGTCAAAACAGGGTGTCTCACAAATATTAAAGTTTACTATTGAAAAAAACGTGCTGCCATATTAAGCCAATGGAAAAATATTTTCTTTTAAATAATTTCTATAGAGTTATAAAAAATAACAGAAATTTTTAAAGAAACATGGAGTAGTTATGCAAATATTATTGCTAATATTAAGATAATATTATATAGAATTCATAAATAATTCTTAGACCAATATACCAACTATCTGGCAAATCAATCCGTTATGTTGACAGTTTAAGGATATCAGTTCCCAAAGCATAGACAAAACAAAACAAATATTTTTTTTTCCATTTTTCACACGTGTATTTCACAATTAAAGAGAATTTAATTAAAAAAAATACATTAAAAACAACTAAAAGTTCGTATTTTTATAAAAAATGAAACAGAAAAAGAAACTTGGTATGTTATACTAAATATATTTTCCAAAATTACTTTATAACTTGATTTTTCTAGCTGTCGGTTTAAGCCGGGAGGAGCGACAGGTCATTGTTATTGGTGAAATCATACAAGAACTTTTGCAGGCCCATGAAGAAAAGAAAGATGTAAATCTTAATCGTATGAAATCCAGAATATCCTCCAAATATGGTTTAGAAAGTTCACCCCGGTTGGTGGATATTATTGCGGCAGTGCCGCAGGATGCAAAGAAGATACTGTTACCAAAATTAAGAGCCAAGCCCATTAGGACAGCTAGTGGTGTAAGTTACACAAAGACTGTTTAAATATTTATTTACAACGCGAATTTTTTCCTCAACAGATTGCTGTAGTGGCTGTAATGTGCAAACCGCATCGTTGTCCCCACATTAATATGACTGGTAATATATGCGTCTATTGTCCTGGTGGTCCAGATAGTGATTTTGAATACTCAACACAATCTTATACGGGCTATGAACCCACATCTATGCGTGCTATAAGAGCCCGCTATAATCCATTTCTTCAGACGCGCCATCGTGTGGAGCAACTCAAACAATTGGGCCATTCGGTGGATAAGGTAGAGTTTATTGTCATGGGTGGTACTTTTATGTGTTTGCCCGAAGAATATCGTGACTATTTTATACGAAATCTACATGATGCTCTCTCTGGCCATACCAGTGCCAATGTGGCCGAAGCTGTACGCTATTCGGAAAAATCACGCACCAAATGTATTGGCATTACCATCGAAACTAGACCGGATTATTGTTTAAAACGTCATATATCCGATATGTTATCTTACGGTTGCACCCGTTTGGAAATTGGCGTACAATCAGTGTATGAAGATGTGGCCAGAGATACGAATCGCGGACATACCGTAAAAGCAGTTTGTGAAAGTTTCCATCTGGGCAAAGATGCTGGCTACAAAATTGTCACACACATGATGCCTGATCTACCGAATGTTGATTTCGAAAGAGACATTGAACAATTTATAGTGAGAAATTATACACAACTAAAAATTTGATTTTATATTCAACATATTTTTTTTTTTAGGAATACTTTGAAAATCCAGCTTTTCGTTCGGATGGTTTGAAAATTTATCCTACTTTGGTTATACGTGGCACCGGTTTGTATGAATTATGGAAAACTGGCCGCTACAAGTCATATCCTCCTTCCATGTTAGTGGATTTAGTAGCCAAAATATTAGCATTGGTGCCACCATGGACTCGTGTATATCGCGTACAACGTGATATACCCATGCCGCTGGTCAGGTATGTTTGGTTTTTACTTTAATTAAATATTAAAAGTCCTTAATATTCTCTTTTTTATAGTTCTGGTGTAGAACATGGCAATTTGCGTGAATTAGCTTTGGCTCGTATGAAAGATTTGGGCACCGAATGTCGCGATGTACGCACCCGTGAAGTGGGTATCCAGGAAATACATAATAAAGTACGTCCTTATGAAATTGAATTGATACGTCGTGATTATGTTGCCAATGGTGGCTGGGAAACTTTCCTCTCATATGAAGATCCCGCCCAAGACATTTTGGTGGGTCTCTTACGTTTGCGCAAATGTTCGCCGGAAACATTTAGACCCGAACTTAAAGAAGGTCAATGTTCGATTGTCAGAGAATTACATGTATATGGCTCAGTAGTACCGGTTAATGCTCGCGATCCCACTAAATTTCAACATCAAGTATGTACACAACCTCATCTTTCCCAACATTTTTAATATAAACCTAAATGTTACAGGGTTTTGGCATGTTGCTTATGGAAGAAGCTGAAAGAATTGCTAGAGAAGAACATGGTAGCACAAAATTGGCGGTTATTTCTGGTGTAGGCACTAGAAATTATTATCGTAAAATGGGTTACGAATTAGATGGTCCTTATATGTCCAAGAAAATTGTGTAAACATCTGAGAAGTGCATTGATTTATAGTTATTTTTATTACATTATTTTAACTAAAAGGTGATTTCCTTTTTTTCGTTTCATTTTTTAATTACTACTTATGAAGTAAAATTAAAATTAATACAATATTATAAATTATGATATCGAGAGCTTTAAATTAAAGGAAAAAAGACGCAGTAGAAGAATTCATATAGAGAACACTTAGTTAAAATGACAAACCTAATAATATTATAAATATTATACACATATTGTGCTGTATTACAAACAAAAGTTCAGACTAAAATAAAATCATCACACTATAGCCTCTGCTGAACCAAAGACCACAAATATAATCCAGCCTACGAGATTAATACCGGCCGCAGCGCTAAATACCATAGGCCAACTTTGGGTTACTTCCAATATATGGCCAGCCAAGTAAACTCCTAAAAATCCTGGTATGGCGCCCACGGTATTCATTAAACCGAAAACACTGCCAGAATGCGAAGGTGCCAAATCCTGAGGGTTAACTGTCACGGCATTATTATGAAAACCAGTGCCACCTAAAATTATAAAAAGGCACGTAAAATGAAATTAAATGAAACAATAGATAACAAATTAAATCCTACCTATAATTATAGTCATACATATAAGAGCTGTATGAAAATCATTGGTTCGGCTCATTATGAATAAGGCTAAATTTTGTGCTAAAAAGCAGCAACTTTGTATAACCTTGCGCACAGACGACGTAGACCATTCTCTGGCCAACAATCTACCAGTTAGATATTTGGCAAAGAATGTACTGGGCGGTAGTGCCAACCAAGGTATCATATTTACCACCCAGCCTTTGGCGTGTGGAAAACCATCATGAAAATAGGTGGGCAACCAAGACAACAATACAAAAAAACAATTCATTTCACAAGCATGTGTTAGAACACAAGCCCAAAAGGATAATTTACTAAAATATTTTAACCACGGCACTGTGTCAACACTCGATTTATTCACACACAAACGCGAAGGCAAAGACACATTTATAATACGATTACGTTCCCCGGACATGGCATAATAGCGTAATATCAATGCCCAGGCGATGCCCATAAAACCAATGACACGAAAAACATACGACCAACCAAAATAGTCCAGCACAAATGAGCCCAAGATGCCAGTCAATAGAGTACCCATGGCCGAACCCGAAGTTAAAAGACCAAAGAAACTTGTGCGTTCATTTGAGCAGAGATTCTGAAATGTTTAATAACTATTGTATTAGAACACGATAGAATTATCACCTTCAATTACTTACTTGACTTGTTAAACTAATCATACTAGGAAAGTGAACTCCTTGAAAGGCTCCATTAATTATTCTTATGGTAACAATAAATGGAATGGCATAATTTTTTACATTTGGTGCCCACCAAATAATATTTGGCATCAGGAATGTTATGATCGACCAGCCAATCGCTGCAAATAATATAACTCTTTGGCCACCAAAGCGATCACTAAAATAACCACCAACAACCTAAAAAGAAAGAAGAATTACAAATTTGTTAATAATAAATTTTGTAAATCTCATCATTACGATATCCTGCAAGCATATTCAAATGCGCATCCAATTAAACTTAATTTTGTCCAATGAATTTATGTACTAATCCATAACAAGTAGAACAATATTTGGGTCGAAAAATAATATTTAAGTTTTAAGTCCAAAACTTTAAAAAGTCATCATTTAAAAATTATTGCTCTTAAAATTATTACTCACTTGCGTTAATGTATAGCCCCAGAAAAATGAGCTCAACACTGTACCGGAGTCTGTTTTACTCCATTTCATTTCGGCAGCCACCGCTGGCACCAATAAAGGCATCGTTGTGCGTGTTGAATACAACATGCAAGTACCGGTGATTAATGTAATAAACCATACTCTCTTTTCGTGCCTTAAAACAATAATAATATAATATAAACAATAATAGAACAATTAATATAGTACATACCGGCTCCATACAGATTGATTATCGACTAATTCATTTCTTAACAAAGAATACTTTAATTTTTCATCCATACTCATATTTATGTTTGTGATAGTGAAGTGTTGCAGTCGTTCTTTAAAAGATTACGCTAACTGGAATCCTAATTTTTTAAAAACAGATACTCTCGGAGACACGTCGTCAGCTTAATGAATTGAACATCTTTATATTCTGAGAAACTCCTGCATTAGAATTTAGTTTTAACGACACACAAGTTATCAAAATACTAAAAATTCCACAATATTTATGTTTTAATAGACACTAAATTATATTTAAAAGAAATTATGCTGAACTACTTCACTTATTTTTTAATTAAAAACTCCAAATTTAAAAATGAAAATTTTTTCTAATGAACTGCCACGATTTGTTTGTGTAAATTGTTGTTTTTATTCCTCTTTGTACGCAATTTTCTTTGACCAGCTGTGTGTACAGCTGTTTTTGTTTGGTTTGCAATTTCTGACATTTGAACTGGTGTAGCCACGGCCACCGGTTTTTTACAGTTTTTCATGTAATCATTTCCCATAGGCTGTTCTTTTGACATTTAGCTACGCCGATTCAACTTAAAGCCGACTAAGCCTTGCCGCCGAAAACATTAAAAACCGACGAAAAAATTTTCAACTAGGCGGCTTTTCCATTCCGTTAAGAAGCCGCTCGTTAAAATTTCGCATGCGTAAAACTCTGATCAACGCGCAATGTATATTAGGATAGCCCCAAAATAATATTTAGTTCATTCTCAATATTTTTGTCCTGACGTAAATATTTGATGTCCGAATCCAGGATAAAAAATAGGTTTTGCTATATCTATCTATCTATCTATCTATATGTATATATATATATATATATATATATATATATATATATATATATATATATATATATATATATATATATATATATATATATATATATATATATATATATATATATATATATATATATATTAGAGGTGTCCAAAAAATATGGATTTTGCTCAGATTGGTCTTAGTGTCTAAAACTTACTGATGTTACATTTTAGTCAAATCGGATATCGATTACCCGTGCCGGAAATCGAAAGTGTAAAATTGTGTAAAAAATAGGACTTTTTCAATTTCTTCGAAAATTTTCCATTGGCATTATATATTCTTAACATTTCGAACAAATCTTATCATCTAGATAATTATCTCTCCAACAAGGTATAAAATATTAATATCAAGCGACAAATAACAAAGTTAAATTCAAAAAGTATTTTTATTTCAAAATTTATGAGAAATTATGACATATGTTTGTCACAAAATAAAGGCGAAATGTAGTTAAAAACTCATAACATTATTTCGAGAATTCAAGATAATTTTATAAAATTAGACACATACTCTTCTCGTGACCCAAAGACGTAGCCTACAAAGCTTTTGTGCTTTAAAAAAATCGAAAAATCTTAGTTTTATATTAGTCTAAATGATACTGGCGATTTTCGTTATGATAAGCCCTCATTTGATCCTAGCTCCATATAAAGTCCATAGAAAATGAGTTGAAGGTCAATAATTCACTTATAAACACTAATATCTCGGTGAAATTCTACATAAATAACTTCAATGTAAATGCAAATCCCTCCATCAAAATTTAAAAGAATAAACCCCATATTACCCCTCTTTCAGAAAATCACTATTATAATTAAAGTGAAAAACAGCTTAAATGCTTTATTATTAAAAATAATCTATATTTTATAACATACCCTCATGGTCGGTCGGTTTGGTTTGTTGTATTTGTTTTAGGGCCCAGACAATCTTATTTTTTATCCTTGGATCCTGCTTTTATTTAATATCGTTGAAAAATTATAAAACAGTTGAAAAATTAGCCGACTAATAAATAGCTGATTTTAAGCCGTCGTCGAAATTGTTAGTGTCAACCGCAGCCGACGTTCATGTTTGTCGGCGCAGGTCTCTGGCTTGCATACATTTTTTTCGCCGTGTCTTGCAAAATTTTTTTATATATTGTACAAAAAATAATTATTGTAAATTTTAAATGAATTAATTTAATATAGTGTGTATTATATTAAAAATAATGATGATGGCTCCATTTAAACGCCAGAGACAACCGAAAATGACTACACAAGCATTGCTTGATTTCGATTTAGGAGAAAGTTCTTCAGACAGCGATTTTCGTATTGATGATTTCGATTCTGACAACTCAAAGGATGACGATGAAGAAGGCGATGACAGATCTTCTGCGACATCTTCTTCATCGAATGATGACGACGATGAGGATGAAGAAGATGACTCCGATAAAGGATCGGAAGATTCTACTCTGCAATTGAAACAACTGCTGGCAGATGCTAGTGAGGAAATTAGGGTGGATAACAAGCATCCGAAAAAAGGACCCAAAACGCCAGAGGTCACTAACGGAGGTGATAACATAGAGGAGTTGTTAAGAAAATTCGATAGTAAACCTGAAAGCAAACCCAAAGTGCCCACAAAACCTATATGTTGTGTTTGCTTGGGCGATCGCAGTGATGACACCAACGAAATTGTGGAATGTGATGGCTGCGGGGTATCAGTGCACGAAGGCTGCTATGGTGTTAGTGACAATACTAGCATATCCAGTACAAATTCAACTTGCTCCACAGAGCCTTGGTTCTGTGAAGCTTGCCGTGCAGGAGTATCGGAACCCTCCTGTGAACTCTGCCCTAACAAGGGAGGCATATACAAAGAGACCGATGTTGGTAAATGGGTGCATTTAGTGTGCGCTCTTTATGTACCCGGTGTAGCTTTCGGTGAGGTGGACCAATTGTCGAACGTGACTCTATTTGAAATGCAGTACAGCAAGTGGGGCGCAAAAGTGTGTAGTCTATGTGAAAATTCTCGATTTTCTCGTACTGGTGTTTGTATAGGATGCGATGCTGGCATGTGCAAGACTTTTTTCCATGTGACTTGTGCTCAAGCTGCCGGCTTCTTGACGGAAGCCCACCATGAGGATACCGATGCTGCCGACCCCTTCTACGCTCACTGCAAAGTACATTCCGAAAAGGAGCTAATACGCAAACGTAAACGAAACTATCATACATTCCGTCTTCACATGGAGCAAAAACATCAAGAGAAACAACTGCACAAAATGGATGATCCCTGTCCGGCTCAAATGCGCATCAATCGCAAACTGCAAAAATATCAGCTAAAATATGCAGCCCACAAGCAAGCACGGCCCGAGCCCTGGGTACCCACTCAAAAAATGTCCAGACTCTTAACTACATCTGCTTCCGCCTGTCGCCGCCTTTTGGCAAAAGCCAATGTCATGGATGTTGACGTAGATCTGATGGAGCGGCAGGAGGTGCAAGTTGCTGCCATAACAGACATACGTAAGAAATGGCACATAGCTCCAGCATTTAGTGTGGAATTTGTAGCCTACTATCTCGATCGAATATCACGCACAAAAGAATTGAAAGAACAATTAGCATCCATGATGACCCGCAACACTACCCTGACGAAAGAACAGGACACCCTTAGAACGGAGTACGACTCTCTGCTGGATAAAAACCGTGAACATAAGGAGAAACACGAATCGCTGCTAAATTCTATAACTCAACTTCAAACGCATATAACCGCCTTGTGTCCAAATAAAAATCTAATAAATCCTCTAAATATAGGGAGACCGGCACAACAGGACAATTTCAAAGCAAATACACCGCCCGCTAGACCGATAAGTGTGCCTACAGCTGCCGCTCTCAAAATGGGAGTAGGATTTCCTTTAGCACATTTAGGTCACCCGAACACAAAGGGAGATGCTAATCGTCTGCTCAGTACTCACGTCAAAAACTCTCCCTCTCTTCCCGATACTCATAACTCTCCTGCTCGCGGTATGCTTTATTCGCTGAACAACAATACCGCAAAATCTCCCCTAATTGCCGTAGAGACTCATAACTGTGGCATTTGCAAAAGATCTAACGATCAACATCTCTTGGCCAAATGTGATACATGCAAATTGTACTATCATTTGGGCTGTTTAAATCCTCCTTTAACCCGTCACCCCAAGAAATCTAAACTCTATGGTTGGCAATGTTCCGAATGTGACAAATCTGATCAGTCGGATGGTGTTCCTGAACTCCCTAAGGGTCCACGAAAATCACGCACACGCTTCAATAAAGACGGCATTATCGTGCCGTTTAAATCTTCTCAAAACAGCGATGATTCCCTGAATAATTCAACAACGTCATCGACAACGAGGTACGATTATGGTGGTGCAGGCCCAACAAAAAGACGTTCCTTAGATATTGCCTCGTCAACAATTTCTCCTACCACCTCCTCCTCCGTAACGGGAACGGCAAGTGCGGCTAAGAAATTAAATCTAAATAAATCCTTGCCGAACACTATAAGTGAATTATCGATAAAATTGGACAATTGTCAAAAGTTAAGTCCAAGTAGTTCTGGTCAAATTACTCCCAAATTAAGTAAAAAATCAAAATTAAGTTTAAATTATTCAAAATCAACGCAACAACAACAGCAAACGAGTATTAGTACGGATTCAACGAAAACGATTTCAAAAAATATGAAACATCCTTTCGAAGGTGAGTTATAGGCATTAAGTATAATAATTTTATTGTTTTTTAAACCAAATTTTTATATCACAAAAGAAGTTTAAAAATAATATTCTCAGTGAAAATCTTTATTGGAATTCTTTTTCATGTTGTCTCAAGATTCATATCTCAAATTTATTCAAGAAATTTCAAGAAACTAACATGATGCATTTATTCAAATTCCCATGTAAATATGTAATTTATGAATTCAATTATTTTCTAGTAAAATAGTAAGTATTTGAAATAGATTTTAAGCGCGTAGTTTGAAAATTAGAAAATTTGAACATTTTCATTAGAAATTCAATAAATTACAATGGAGACTTTTATAAAATCTACTTTAAATTTGAAATGGAAAATTGAAAAAAGTTTAGTATTTCGAATTCTGAATTCAGACCGAAATTTTATTTAAAAGATTTTTTCCAGTTTTTAATACTTTTTGTGCGTTTTTCATATAAAATTTCTGCCCGAGATATTTACTATTTATTTATTCTTTTATTAATATATTTATTTCTTTTATTAATTATTTTATTTATTTTTGATTATTTTCCATTACTAAAAGGAAATATTACTGTTTATTTTTTTTTTTTTTGCAAATTTACCTTTAATGAATGTAAATTAAACAAATTTATTTAATTCTAGATTCCCATCATCCACCTCCAGTTCAGACATCAATATCAAATGATGAACCATTAGTTTTAGTAATGAATTCAAAAACATCAACGCCATTACCTGTTACTACAGATTACGACCCGTTGGCTTTGCCTAGCAACTTAACCGCGTCAAATAATGCAACAACTACAAACAATATTAAGTCGACTTCCGTGTCGGAAGGTGTGCCAGATAATTCAAAACAAGCCCGCAAACAAAAGCGAAAAGATAAACATAGAAACAAACACAATTTATCGTCGGATACCGAAAAAT